TAACGAATGTTATCGAAACAACATATGTCAACATAATGGCGCATGTATTCAACATGGTTCTTCATTAGCGTGAGTTTTTCCATACCTCATACATACGTACATACATTTTAGTGTAGTATTATTGTTGTTGTAATGTCGCTCATCGTTCAACACCTATCAATAAAATGTTAAATCTGTCCTGAATTTAGAAAAAAAAGATAACAGTGTGATGTTTTATAAAACTGAAACAAGTTTGTAAAAAAAAATTATAAAAATCAAAGTTACGAACGTTTAGTGATTAGTTAAAAAAATTAACTTATATATTTTTTTAAATAGTCACTCATTTTATATTCTAATTTATTATTTTTAAATAATCACCTGATGCCTATAGGTCACATAGTATAGAAATTGTGCCTCTAAAACATTTTTTTAAGCTTTCATTGTTCTTATTGGAATTTGGTACAATGGTATTGACCGTTTTTTAAGGTGTTCAATATTGAATATAGGGAATTTTCTAAGTGCATGCATGTCAACATGTCGTGCGTGTAGCAAGAGATCATTATATTTTTATAGTTTTTTTTTTTCTAAGTGTCAATATTTTGGAGATTTATTAACTAACCTATTTATTTGATAGAATGTCTAAAGAAATATTTGAATTCATCATGAGGTTTACCTACTTATAAACGATTTCTTTACATTTTAAATTAAATATGTTAGGGTGAATATTGTAAAATTATTAAAACTTTAAAAATCTTAATATTCAAAATTCAAAATTAAATTAGGTTTTAGAGTTCAATCTCAAAAAAGTGGAAAATTAATTCGTACGTTTACTTTGTGAGTCATGAAAAATTCATATATTATTTCAGAAATTGGGTTGAGAAAAAAGGTTGGAGACATAATCATAGATCAATGAGAGACTATTAAAGTGACAGTTAAATTGATTCATTTTTTCCATAATTAAACACTTAAGTACAAAATAGTTTGAAAATTATCTAATATATAGAAAATACTATTATAAACAGGTGAAAATTACAAGTATCTATAGTATCCCCTACGTCATCCATAACCGTATATTAACTTAAGAATATAAACAAATTATACAAAATAAGATGAACCTGCAGCGGCTATCACAATGTTGTTTAGCAGTTAGTAGTATTAAAGTATGTTATTGACTATTGTATTCATTGTGTCCTAAAAACGATTTTGAATGGAAACGTGGTGTCATCCTAGCATAGGTACGTCATGTATAAATAAAATATATCAAATTTAATAATTAAAAATTACTGAATATCAAATACTGTAACAATTTTAAATTCAATCGCTTATAAAAAATTAGATGGTTAGTAAATAGAAATAAATGGAAGTGCTAATATACTTTTTTTTTTGTGCAAATTGTCTACGGCTATTAGTTTTTGAGTTAAGCTAAAAAAATAATGTCAATAAGTTATAGACAATAACATTGGTTTTGCTTAAAAATCTCTATATTTCATTAATTTTTTTTCTTCTGATGCTTAAAAAAAATAGAATTTGATTTTAAAAAGTTTTTTTTAAATATTTTAGAAAGCAATTAAATCATTTATTATGCTGGCATCCCTAGTCCCTCCATTGTTGTGCAAATAGACCACGACAGTACTGATTGACTATTGCGCCCTAATATCGAGACTGATTATATTCGGCCCCGATTTTGCAGGTGCGTGTGCGACGATGGGTGGTATGGCCCGGTATGCTCTCACCGTTACAACGCTTGTGACGCGAACCGACACAACTGCTCGGAAGGGTCGACGTGCGTACCGGTGGGTACGGGATACGAGTGCGACTGTCCGTCGGGTAGGACCGGCAAACACTGTGGCCGGGAAGAGCGGCTGTCCGACGTCCGGTTTCTGGGCAAGCGGTCTTTCCTGTCCGTGTCCACGGCTGCGGAGCTCAACATGCAGCAGTTCAGCGTCGAGCTAGAGATCAAACCGTCCAGCGAACACGGTATTGTGTTTTTCGTCAGACATGACGCAGCGCGCAAGAAGTTCATGTGCCTGTCACTGTACGGTGGAGTGCTGGAATTAAGGATTTCTGTCCGAGGTAATGATCCATAATAATATTGTTATATATGTTATACTCATTTTAAATGTCATGTATTATTATTTTATCATTATACACTTTTATTAAAAAAATGAAGGTAGGTAACATATACATAGGTACTAAACAATTCTGTTATAAATCATATTGATGAAACATCTAAGTTTATTAAGTAAACTTGGACATCGTTCAATATTTTTGAATCAAACGTCATACAGCTGACTGTTGCGATTCGTTTTGTTCAAAACTTAACTCACACTCAGGCCCGGATTAGGATCTACAGTGCCCATAGGCTGTAAAAAATTTTGCTCCCCTATTTAAAAAAAATATTGTACACATTTCTCTACTTGATACTTGATTAAATAATAAAATATTATTTTAGGTTTATTAGCCACAATATGTACATGTATATAATATGTGAAAACAAGTAAAAACATAAAATTAAAATTAAATAAAATATATTTTATATTTATAAAAATATAAAATAATCATACATATTATAAAAAATAACGAACCATTAATTTATACTTTTCTTTTTTTTAATTATTGATTACATAGATAATAAATATTAATAATATTAATATTATAACAATATTATCTATGATTGATTATTACGATTTTAAATTTCCGATATATTTAAATAAAAATTTAAAATAACATTAGGATAGTATGCGGTGCCCGTGCCCCTAAATCCGTGGTTGTGTAGACTGAAGCCTACACTGCTAAACTGCTTACGCCTTAATCCGGGCCTGCTCACACAGTTTAATAAATCACATCATGATAGGTTTTTGTTTTTATATGTACCTATTAAATTTAAAAAATAAATGCAAACTGATCAAAATAATGTATTTATAATAATATACATTTTTTACGATTATGTAGGTAGGTACCTAAAATATATAGATATTTAAATAAAAATTAATAGGTTCACTTAAATTAAACTGGCATCATATCACTATTTAAAAATAATTTTATATAATTAATCAGTATTTGAGTTATCGTGTTTTTTATTTTTCCATAATATGTAGAATGTAATAATATGGAATCGATATCTGGCGAGATCGACATAAGTACAAATGATGGAATTGATAATAAAACTATTTATTCTATAAAACCCGTACATAACAACCAAATGCCTTTGCTTTAAATTTTTATGTGTTTAGGTGTGTAATTTTCAAGTCACATAATGATCATTAGTTAATAGTTGGACTGCAGGAGGTATTACTGAGTCTCAATTTAAGATCAACTTAAGTACGAACATATTTTTTGTTTCATTTGTTATCCACTTGAATTATGCGAAACAGTGTGTTTGAAGTTGTTTTATATCAATAAAGCCATATGTAAGACGGTTATATTCAGACAGGTAATTTAAGTCCTGTTTATGCCTTAATAAAAAAAGAGTTTATATTGACAACATTTAATCCTAAACTTATCTGCGTGAATACTTTATAATAATAATTGTTTGGTAATAAATAATTTTATAAAGTATTAGGTAGAACGTAGGTAAGTTTTATGGATAAAATCTTTCAATCTAACATATATTTGATAAACAAGGGTATTCCTTAAATTCTACATGATAATAATAATAATTAGTTTATATTTCTAGTTATAATACACTTTTTATTTTTTTATCTTATATTTAAATTAATATTATTAATAATTTATTAATATCTAGAATCAGTAATACAAAACTTTAATATATGTAGAATAGTTAATACAAACTAAAATTGAATATTGTGAAAACAGTTTATTTGTTTTGAATAGTGCACTTGTATAGGAACTTATAAATTCATTTTATATTTTAGCATATTATACAGAACTTATTTTATGAAATATTTAAAAAAAAATTAAAATCATTTTGTAACATGTCCTGTCTTTAAAATTTTTTCCAAACTCAAAGAATATTTTTGCTTGGAAAATTGTATTAGAGAAACGATGACATTAAAGTTTGAAAATCTAATGCAATATTCTTATAAGGTGTTTTTACTGGAATTAAAATTAAATCAGTGTATCTACCTACATGAGCTTTTATTGTTCCTGCAAAAATATTAATCATTAAAATTTAAAATATTCTACGTTTACTTAATTTATCAATTTTTGTATGCAATGAAATTTTCAAAACATTTTAACTTATTAAAAGCTATTTTTTATAGACCTTTGATATATTTTTTTCTATAAAATATGATACTTGAATGTTGGGAAATTTTTTATAAGTGTTTCTTAAAATTAGAAAAATATTTAAAACAAACTACAAAACTACAATAATCAATAATGTCATAAAGTATAAATTCAACAAGTAGGTATAGTTACCTAATTTTCAAAACTTATATTGTATAAAAAAAAACATTTGACAAAGTTTTTTAACGCATTAATCATGGTTAACTAATTATTATTAAATAGTTTCTGTTAAATTTTTACAAAGCTTATTCAAACAAATGAATTATTTATTTATTAGATTCTGAACGGAATGATGATTGTATTAGTTTTACCTTTTACAATGATGAGTGGTTTTTTTTTTACTGGCGTCACTTTAATTAGAAATAAGTTGGTGGTTTCTTGTAACTAATTAGATTTAGTATTTAATTTGTAGAGTCAAAAGAAAAGAATACTCAGTACTAAATATTAAACTCTTAGAAAAAATCGATTATTTCGCAAAATAAATTTTTCATTGGACCAACGAAAAAGTGATAGTTATCCATAGAGGCAACTATATAGACTACAAATGAAAAAAAAATACTTAGGTTCAAATTATATATTCAATTTTAAATGTATACAATTGTTGGTGTTAGTTTATGCCAAAACTTTTACATTAGTTGTGTTATAATAAGTAAACATTTTAAAACTTTCAATTATGTAAGCAATTAAAAATTATTAAATTTTGTACGTATTTTGAATTGATTCATAAATGATTAAAAAAACAATGTTGGTAGTTACAAAAATCATACTAAACAGATTTACTTTAATAAACTTCTGTTTTACATACTACCAATGATATTATCTTTGTTTTCTTAATTTTTCTAAACATGATGTTCTTATTCTGAAAAAAAAAATATTAAAGCTATTAGGTAGGTTATACTAGATATATTGCAAAATAAAATTGATTAATTGATATATTAAAATGAACATATTTAATTATTTTAATTATATTCAAGATTAAGAATCTCGATTAAATAACTAAATTTTAATTAACTAATAATCAATAATTGCCACTATAATTATTATTTCATCAATAATCTTATCATTTAAATTTACAGAATTCTATATAAATTGCAATAATGGAAGGAGTATTAACTTATTATATAGGTAATTTATTACTTGCAGAAAGCTTAAAATTATTAACATCTACAATTTACTATAAACTAAATAAATAACATATTCTAGTTTATTCTTTAAATATTATGTGTAATAATCAATAGGTTATGGTCCATGGGAATATTAACGCCTAACATGACAGAATATTACAAATGACAAAAACAATGAATGACATCATATTATAAAATAGGATTGAACTTAGAGTAAGTCAGACTAACTTTGGTTCTGTTAATATTTTCAAATTGAAACAATTAAAAAAAAATTTTAAAACCATTGTTATGGTTTATTATATTTAGTACAAACATTTTAAGAACTAAGAAACTATTCGTTAAAATTTTGAATTAGATACATGAACATTTTAAAACAATCATCCACTAATAATTTACCTACTGTAAAAAAGGAAAGGGGGTTTTCATTTGAAAAACAGAAGTTTATATTCTCACAAGACACTCCTTAAGTAGTACAACAATTAAAAATTTGAAATATAATTCAAATTAAACAGAATTTGAATAAATTCACGATTAAAGGAAAAATGTGGGACATGTTTAGTGAATCACCATGTATATAACATACCTTTGAAAGTTTATAGGAAGAAGTAGATTTTACATTTTTAATATCTCGTTAAGTATATTTTTATCAAATTTAAAGTAATAATCTGGCGGACGGACGACATTGTATTATTAAAATAATCTTTTATTTTATACAAATTTAATGCTATTTTTGTTAATCTTCACTATACAGTCTATGTTATATCACCTGTTTTTCAAAATTTTTTTACGACCTTTTGTATTCACCCAAATGTATTGTA